CAGGAGAAATCACATTGATCATCGAAAGTCTGTCGCTATACAGGAATCTATACGACGTTTAGCGCTTTAGAAATTGCCAATTATTAATTATATTATATGATAATCGGCCATAGATCTGCCCTATTTGCGGAAGATGCCATAGATTTGAGAATCCGCTACGGATCAGAGTCCTACATATCTAATAAAGTATTATCTCTGGAACTGGGGCTCAGATTCAGCTACTATAGAGATAATCATAGAGGCCTTGTGATGATCACATGTATAAGTATTGTGGTGGATCTGATGGTGAACGCCGTACGGAGCCATGTGCTTGCAAGGTGTTTTTACAGATTGTTTCAGATTTCATAGGCACTGCTCAGACACTGCCGTTGTCTAAGAGCCTATACTTTCTCAAATTCTCATTTCTCAATTAGTGAGCTTTGTTTTAACGTCGCTTTGAACTGGTTTCAGTTTAATCAACGCATGGTAGTTGAAGGTCAGAGGGCGCCTCAGCGTTTGGATAAATAACCTAGTGCAACTGATATACAAATTCTGACCACTGTTACGAATACTATCAAACATCGATATTTAAAATATACTTTTTTACACGTACTTAAATACGAAAACACAAACTATTAATGACTGTCTGAGGAAGAACAATGAACATCGTTCACTGCAGCACAAATGGTTTCCTGGTTTGTAACTAACGCTCATTATTAGATAAAAAAGGCTCCATCATTAAATCTTACCTCTCTCTGATACAGAGACAGTTAAACTGGGCAATTAAACAACACACGTAGAAGGGCTGTAATCTAAATATTTGTACTTAAGCTATAAATATGCTTACATTGCCTGGTGCGTACAACGGGAGACCGCATCCGAACATGAAGGTTTTTGGTGTTTTGTGTTTGCTGTTGGTGTGGTGATTGTGTCCCCCTGTTTGGAGTTCACTTTAGATGGTGCTTGTGTGATTGGTTGTTCATGGATTTGTTAGATTAACTCAGTATGTAGACGTATACCACAGGCTGTATATCGGGCGCTGCGTAGAGATACAGCTCATGTGATGTAGTAAATGTGAGTCAATCCTGTTGGCAGCGACCGTGATTAGTTGAGTGCCCCCAGGCGGTCGGCAAGATCTCCTTAATGATCGCTAACAATCAGCATATCCACTTCCCGCATACTCGTGTAACTCAAAGCCAGCCCTAAGGGCCCCGTCCTCCCTAGCATGTATCTGCTGATGCACTTTAATACTATTGTATCATGCAAAAAGGACAGTGCCGTAACGTCCACACATTGCTAGTACCTGTATGTTCCTACTTAAGTAAACGAAGTCATACGATGACGCTACCTCTGAGGGTTCACGTGTCTCCTGGATGCACGTCACGTTGCGGTGGTCAATGTCCAACCGTCCTTCGTCTAAACTCATTTTACATTGACCGTGGTCCAGTCTGATCGCACACTTCCTATAGGGAACGTGTGAAGCATTAAACTGAAACAAACCGATCTTGCTTTATGCTAACAATTGATTGTAGGCGGCTGACGGCGGTTGACCGTTGCTGACAAAAATGCAGTTATACTATCTCAGAAATGGGCTATCACGGCCAAGTTATAAATGTTAACAATGTCAGACATGTACTCGGTTCGCGCTGTGGATCATTATCTCAGACCGGTCCTGATAACTGCATTACTGTAAACACTTGCATAGCGGGAAGCACCTGGCTGCGGGCTGCAGCTTACTGTACTGGGCTGGATGGGGCACGAATGCAGCAGTTGATGTTGCGACTGCCCGGGGGCCCCAGCACACGAAGGTGTTGTACTTGGGGGTGTATCATGCAGTATTAAACCACCCAAAGTCAGGTTTTGCTGGATATATACTAATGATTTTATTACCGCGCATAACGAATGTCTTCTAAATATGGTTGAACAGGAGTCTATTGTCAGGTGGTTTCTGCGCAGGTAAAGAATCGGTGCAGTGTCTGTGACGTACCCCCATGACTGGAGTGCTGCTTTGGATGACATGAAAGCATATTGTGATCACTATATCAATCCAATCGTGGAACTGTCAACTGTCAACTTGTGCATGGTGGCGCCTATAGTGCACGGGTTGCAATGATGAATCTCTCTCTCTCTCTCTCTCTCTCTCTCTCTCTCTCTCTCTCTCTCTCTCTCTCTCTCTCTCCAGCTGTATGACTAGTACGACGGCGATCTGTAAATATACCAGTCTGGACCAGACAATCCAGTGATTGATATCATGAGCATTAATGCCTGTCTAAGAGGAAGAACAATGAATATCGTCAGCTCTAGACAGAGTCCTTAACACTGCAGCACAAATGGTTTCCTGGTTTGTAACTAACGCCCAATATCATTATAAGAAAGGCTCCATCATTAAATATTATCTCCCTCTGAGACAGAGACAGTTAAACTGAGCAATTAAACAACAAACGTCGAATGGCTATATCTAAATATGTGTACTTAAGCACGCTACAAATATGCTTACATTGCCTGTTGCGAAGAACGGGAGACTGCATCAGAACATGAAAATTTTGGGGGTTTTGTTTACTGTTGGTATGGGGATTGTTTGGAGTTCACTTTAGATGGTGCTTGTGTGATTGGTTGTTCATGGATTTGTTAGATTAACCTCTTATGTAGACGTATACCACAGGCTGTATATCGGGCGCAGCGGAGAGATACAGCTCATGTGATGTCGTAAATGTGAGTCAATCCTGTTGGCAGCGACCGTGATTAGTATGACGGCGGTCTGTAAATAATCGAGTCTGGACCAGACAATCCAGTGATTGTTATCATGAGCATCGATCCACGCAATTGGGATAAGAAAACATGCATTAATCAAGTCAGTGAGCCTGACCCCCCGATCCCATTAGTCGCCTCTGACGACACGCATGGGTTGCCGAAGACCTATTCTAACCAGAATCTGCATGACTCACCCATGTACGCGTGTGAAATGTGTCTATTTCATAATACAGATGCATCGCATTCAAAAGGAAGACAAGAATGTTTGAAGACAGATGCACCATGGTACGTCCAATTCCAACGTAGCAACATACATTTTAAAAAATAAACTGTTAACAATCCATGACTGGCCTGAGAAACAAGTGAACTCAATTTGGCGTCTGAAAGAAGCTTGAACAACACCTTGAACCAGTCACTGAATCTATCCCTGACCCCGTATCTCCACCGGGTTTCAGGCTATCAGGTTACTGGTGTTATTCATGAAGCATATCTAGTAATCCATAATGTAATTGTCTTAATGTGTGTTATTTCGTAACGTCGCTGTCTACACCATAGATAGAAAGTTCTCCATGTCTTGACGGTTCATCCTTCCCCCCTGCTTGTATAATGTGTCATGCAGGAAATATATGGCTTTAGTTTCAAATGAATATGGATGTGACTTTGCCATTTCACCACTTTAGCTGTCTCGCACATACACATACATCACCATGCTCATCACCGATCTTGTCATGAACCATTTATGCAAATCTTGCTTTTCTCGGAATATTTTTTTTTCATTTTAGGATCCAATCAAACGGTTCAATCGACTAGCACGTTGCACAATTGCCGCTGAGCCAATTCAATATTCCAAGGGAGAAAAAAACGTCGGGTTTGCCATCGAACAAGGCAGGGATCACGCAACTTGACGGTGGTGTCACACTGCCCCAGACGGGGACATCAACACAACGAATTGGGCGCCTTCAGTCCAGGGATTGATCTGTTAACCGTCCATATTACACAGTGATATAGTCTTTGAGCGATAACCGAACACTACCTTTCAATTGACAATCTGACGCAAGGGATTATTGAACAAGGATTGGATTCGTACACACAAATTGTATCATGGTCATAAAACACAGCCCTGAGACACTTTCACTGATGTGAATATAAGAGTTTCAGCAGCGCAGACTACGACCAGTAGGTGTTCCTGGAATGTAACTTGTCATGATATATTGGACTTTTAGAAAGATATCTACAGATTGTTGTTAGTCTGTTTATGGGTTTACATTCAACGATATACATGAAGGTATATGATATCTAGAGATGCAGTGTAAATGATTATTCCTTTTGGAACTATGGCTCATAAACGCGTTATCACATTGTTTGTACGAAAGTACTGTTGTCATTGATTTTGCGTAATTCGGCGAACATACTATTCTGATTAAATACACTGTGTCTTGTCGTCATCTCGTCAAATCAAATATGCTAAACTTAAGTTAGTATCATTCTTGCATGGCATGCGCACGAGTAGATTGATCGTCTCTAATGTATCTGCTTCCGAGGTAGTTACGTGTACTTCAGGGACCATACCTTCCACGACCAGAACAGAAATCTGGTAATGGGAAACATTTGAGGAGTAGTGAAAGACTTGGGTTCTGAAAGGATTTATTAGTTCCGTGAATATAAATTCAATATACCTGGCAATAGAAGGATGACAAGAGTAGCATCGTGCTTTGATGGTGGACATTAATCGAAAAACTTAAGAGCCATGACGTCACCCGGGGACTCCAAATCCAACCATCAGTCAGTACTTTATTTGCGGGCGTCTAGGACTAGTCCCGTTTATTCACTAACTCAAACGGGAGGTGATCGTGGGGACTTAACTCGTTAACTGCTGTCGAGATCTTGGCGAGAAAAGAATTATTGACTCCCCGAAACCAAACCCATTTGTCGATATGTGCAAATAAAACAAAGCTCTGGGACAAGCGCATTGGAGGCATTCCGAGGTCTGTAACTCAATCGTACGAAGACGTCATACTAGAGTTTGCAGTAGGTTCCGGAGTTGAATGACAAGGCTTATGTCAATACACTCAACGCAATTGGGTGCCATGATACGGTAAAACTGTTAAATCGTTCAATAATCAATGACATTCTTATGACAAAACTTAATGATTACTTTGCGATTAGTCTGTGATGGCGGAAAAATATTATTTCAATCGAAGATCTAACCTACATTTAGTCGGAAAATGTTTCAATAACGACACTTTGGATATGGTTTTCACACTGCTTACCTTTGAAGATGTCTCAGATGAGTTGGTTGATGAAGCTTCATGGTTTGAATTACTATCACAACGAAATAGAGGTCAGATTGCAGATCATCTTCAGTAGGTTGTGTGCAGTATTAAGTTCCACGTGACCTCGCACAGTGTGGATATTCTGGCCATCTTCAACTTTCGAAATCATGTTTAGATACAGATTCCTGAAACTGAGGATGATTTTGTAACCATTATAATACCAGACGTATTTTCACCCTCCTGTATATCATGAATTAGATATTCGTATTGTCTTAATAAGTTGTTTGTATTGTCTTTATAAGAAATTCATAGCATCTTTATACACTATTGAAATTCATTTTATATGTACAAATGTAACATAAAAGATTACAACTCTAAAACTTTCCTGATTGCAACATCAGGCCAATGTTAGGTTCTCATGAATATGATTTTGCACAAGCATTATGACAGTCCTTCAACATGAATTAGAATATGAATATACATTTTCTGGCTCAGACGTTAGCGACTATATTGCCTGTAGAGAATGTATTACTGTCTTTCCCCTTGAGAGCATGAAAGACCTCCACAGTGAATGAGATAAAGACAGCGTCTTTTGCCAACACAGCATGATGCGTCTCGGTTGTCTCCAGACTAGGAACTAATCATGCAACTCACATCAGCTGGTTGACCTCTAATCAAATCTGTAAAGTGTACCTTGAAGTTCAAAGCTGAAATTGTCATCACAGAAATGCCAATAGTTCTGTCTTTGAAGACTAAAACTACTGGACATTTCTTTCTTCATAGATCAAGTTATGTTTAGGGACAGTGTTATTTATGGCCAGGTTGACACATTCTTACAGTGACAATATCGCGGAGAGTTGATGGAGAATATATTTCAGAAAGAGAAATATACATGCCACGTGTAGCATGTCCCACACACAGAGGTACAAACAATGATGGTTTTCTGTCTTTGGAAGATGCAACTGAGGGAGTCGGTACAGCTACACAGTTTAGTTGCTTGAGTATTTACAGAAAGCTTAATACAATGAAACATGCCAGTATTTCTATGATGTCATGCGTGTGGATATCAGACAAGATGGTACCATGCCCCGCCATGGAGGCTGGTGACAGTGTGTGCCATCGTACCCCGACTACCTGGATCTTTGTCATGCTATCAACCACTAGTCTGCTTGACCTGACTCGATCATGTCGGCCTTCCCGATATAGCGGTGTAAAAAACATTCAGTTTCCCGCAACAGGGTTGACCCCAAGGGCATTGACAATACATCATCAGTGGTTTGGCCATCTTTTCCTGCCATCTTTTCCTGCAATATCTTTGGTACTCGCAGGTCTACACTAACATGAATGTGGTTCTTTACAAATACAGGAAGTAGATCGGTTCCGGGCGGATTATAGCGCCTCGTGCCGGCTTGTCAATATGCAATTATTCTTTCCATGCCCAAAGCTGAATTCATCGAATCGCTTTTCGATTAGAACTCGTCTTAAGACAAGGTGACAAGTCTGGAACACCTACATAACTGTCCCTCAATTCAACCTTGCTTCTAACCTAGATCCTGCTGTCTTGTTCTGGGTTGTTCAAACTAACACACAACAGGCAGGTGAAACTACAGTTAACAAGTGTACTGAGGGATGACTTGTGCATATTGTACCGTTACTCGCTCCTTAAACACAGTAAACCAGGGACTCGAGAGTGGATATTACATTCACGTCCAGTACTCGGTCGAAATCCTATTTCCACGTAACATTGTCCTGTTGACCAAGTGTGGCCATGTCATAGTAACACTAGCCTTCACTGACAGATCATGTGACCTGGCTTGTGACGTACGTTTTAATGGTCCGCGGAGAAATTCAGTTGAAGCTTCCTTCAATTTTTCACGGAACAAGCATCAACCAGAAGACGATCCGACACCCCGAACCTGTAATCTATACGGTAAGGTCCAAGGGAGGTAACTAGTTCGAGGAATTATAAGGCCATGTTTATGCAAGCCACTCGTCGTCTGATCGATTCATTCTGTCCGTGGATAATCTGGTTGAGGCGGAACATGTTCGTGGCTAAACTGGCATTGATAGCGACAGAAAAGCCACGATTTGCAGTCATAATATATTGCATCTGCGAACATTAGTGTGTGGAAAAACTGCCTGACGTAACGATGTAGAAAATGCAATCAAATAGAGTCATCTTACCGTCGGCGATTTCAAGCATACCCTCGAGGTTAAATTTGATTGACAAATGATATGTCGCGCATAGTCTTCTGGCTCGCTAGTCGTTCTGCGGTGGCGTTTTGTAACGGTTTTGGAATTTGCGCGTATATCACGTTGGTAAAGATAATTGTATCCTCTACGAGGAGTGATAAATTGGTCTGCCTATGTTCTACTCAGTATAGCAACTTAACATGATGTAATGACATCCCATCGTCAGTTCCGATGCGGCTTATGTATCGACTGTATGCATACAGTCCACACATGACTCAGATTGATGTCCAAATAGAAAATGTATTTTTTTGTTCAAATGAAATTAAACCCCCTTTTTCCAACTCACATTTAATAATTGCCTAGTTATAATAAACCATATATTAACATACACTCAAGTTCAACAACCTCCCATGTTTAGTCCAGCCATTATAATCTACTTAGGTGTTTGTTAATGCACAAAATAAATTCAATCATTTAAAGAACAGCCCAATAACAAAACCAATAGAGGATCGAGTTCTCTGCTGTCGGACCTGCACTTGAATCACAACGTGTACTTGACCACCATCCATGACCCTGGTCGGAGTCAATGCACATATATGACTCGCTGTCCCTTCCAAAGCTCATCTTAATTTTTCATCACCGCCAAAATGGCTCCATGCTTGACCTCTGGATGGCTATGTCGTGTACAAACTTTGGCCAACCCAATCGCTTGGTTCAGAGACATCCCGTTGCGTGCAGTGATTCACCTTGAGATGTAGCAGCTGATGAGGACGGATGGTGTGTTGTGTGAGCTGCAGGGATCAGTGGATGGGAACAGTCGACAACACTGTTATTGATTTAACTTACTTTGAGGGTTGTATGTGTCTTTACTAGTTCCTTTGTTGTAAAGTGTAGTTCCAGTTAATGATGTCACGAGGGAGCCACATTTGCATAAAGGCGTGACTACAACCCTCTGACGATCCATTCCCGCAAGTCTTTGCAAGAAATAATCTGCAGTGAAATTACTCCCGTAGGATACGATCACAACCGACGCGTTTTTTTACAAAAAGTTCAGTTTTATTTGTTAAAACAAGTGCTGCCAATGAAATCTGAAATCCGATAGCTGTGTCCTCCTGAGTATCCTGCTATAATGACCAGGACTGCTCTTTGTTTCTGTGACAGCACGAACCCTAACTAGGGCGTTGATATCGATCACGATTCAACAACGAGTCACGAGATGTTCCCCTTACCCATGTTGTCCATGAAGATCAAATGTAGACAGTTCCAGATACCCAGCAAGCAGTACTGATGATGTGCTATGGAGGTACATACGGCAGATACAAGGTACATGATCTGACGTTTCTATATTTGAGGTAGATCGTGAGTGACTTCGACATGAACGCTGCTTTGATCAGTTAGTGGTTATTAAACATGACATCATGATATAGCACAATTTACGCAAAACAATAGCCAGTCAAGCCTTTGAAACATGAAATGAAACATATTGAACGAATGAGTTTGGTTAACAGTACTTCGGTTATACCCTGGCACGGCATCTACAAGTTGGAGGAAAACACGTGAAGTGAAGCAGGTTGAGCCCTAATATGGTGCGGACAACCAATAATCACAGTGAGGGCGAACTATGATACGAACCTACGATGAAGAGGCTCACGGAAGGTACGCAACTCTATGCAGCTAATGGCGGCGCCATGAACAACTCCCGACATTTGGAGGATAGTGATACAGTTTTAGCAGTAACATCATGGACATGGCAAACCACCTGAATCCTTGGTTGCAGATTCCCATAGCGAGATTTCTATTCCATACGAGAACCAGCAGCCCGCTCTCCAACACATGGACTTCCTGAGAGCGGGAACCAAGGCTGATCTATGGGCCATCATCTGCCTCAACACCACTTGGTTTCATATCACCGTTATCCCATCAACCAGCACTAATAGCATCCTCATCGAGGGGATATTCTTCTTTGATCCGTTAGAGTAGTGCATTCCATTGACTATGCACCCGTGGATGGCCAGTCCATGCACGTGCGTCCCTTCATTACTGGACCATATTGTTGTAATGCGTAGAGGAATTCTTAATACTGACGAGTGTCATCTTTTCTCATTATCTCTTCCACATTTATCAGCACCGGCGGTAAAGTGGGACTCTTGGCAGTAATAATGCACTTTCAGTGTTTAACTGTTTCTTATGAGCTGGTAGTAAGGTCAACGTAGACACTATAAGCTGTAGCAGGATCACGAGGGGTACATTGGGTTTTATGCGTCCCGTGTTAGGTTTTGTACCACGACGTACCCTGAGTGATCCTGCTGCAACGCATGTATCTTACCTACATTTTTTATATGGAGCGTGTTGCCGTTCCTGTGGAGTGTTGTTGCCGTTCCTGTGGAGTGTTGTTGCCGGCCCCGCGGAGTGTTGTTGCCGTCCCCGTGGAGTGTTGTTGCCGTAACCGTGGAGTGTTGTTGCCGTCCCCGTGGAGTGTTGTTGCCGTCCCCGCGGAGTGTTGTTGCCGCCCCCGTGGAGTGTTGTTGCCGCCCCCGTGGAGTGTTGTTGCCGTCCCCGTGGAGTGTTTTTGCCGTCCCCGTGGAGTGTTGTTGCCGTCCCCGCGGAGTGTTGTTGCCGCCCCCGTGGAGTGTTGTTGCCGCCCCCGTGGAGTGTTGTTGCCGTCCCCGTGGAGTGTTGCTGCGTCCCCGCGGAGTGTTGCTGCGTCCCCGCGGAGTGTTGCTGCGTCCCTGCGGAGAGTTGTTGCCGCCCCCGTGGAGTGTTGTTGCCGTCCCCGTTGAGTGTTGCTGCGTCCCCGTGGAGTGTTGTTTCCGTCCCCGTGGAGTGTTGTTGCCGGCCCCGCGGAGGGTTGTTGCCGTCCCCGTGGAGTGTTGCTGCGTCCCCGCGGAGGGTTGTTGCCGTCCCCGTGGAGTGTTGTTGCCGTCCCCGCGGAGGGTTGTTGCCGTCCCCGTGGAGTGTTGTTGCCGTCCCCGTGGAGTGTTGTTGCCGTTCCCGTGGAGTGTTGTATATAACACATGTTTGTGTGACAGTGAAAGTTGACCGAGTCTCACCAGACAACGCTACTGCTCGTCAGAAAAATAACTCCATTACATCGGGTTGACAGCAGACGTACTCCGCCTGGGGACCGTGCCAGGCAATTCCACATTTGAATGTGCTACAACATAACGTTATCCGTAGTAACCAAGATCTACCATACAGCCAACCTGTCCGGAACGTGCCTTCCGTGGAGTGTTGTAACCAAGATCTACCATACAGCCAACCTGTCCGGAACGTGCCTTCCTGGCGAGTGAAAGGAACCGTTTCAAATTTTCAATAAACTCTGTTCTTATGATCGGTACAATCCGGTTAAACGGGGTTTCGCTGTATCATATTCTTGGAAATAGTCAGGCATTATATATAGCGACCATGCTTCTTAATATTCATGACATTCCATTCAAAGCTTTACTAAAAAGTTACCATGATGAGCCACCACTTAACCGCCGATTCACGTTAAGTGATATGATTACTGCAATCAGAGACGCCATTTTCTCTCTATGCTGTCCACGTAGCAAATAGATTACCAGTTTAAGCTGATCTCTTGCTGGAAGGAGATGCACAAGATAAAAGCAGGACATTCCCTAACTTTTAAAATGATTGACATTTAAACACAACTATTGCATTGTCCCCTTTGTGAGTAATGTAACAGGCTCACCAGCTTAAACGGCATTGGCGTGTAAATCTTGTCTTTATTACATTGGCTATTCTCATGGTTAGATAAGCACCAGTGTTCGGACTGGCATTGGAATACTAGAACATGGCCTATTTCCTGGGAAAGGCGGAGTAAAAAAATGCATTATTGTGATCGATAATTACTTTAGGGTATTCTAGTATGTCTCGGAGGTGTTTGAGTATGTGATGTTGTGTACTCTAACGATGCTGCTGAAAGCTGAAATTACATGATTGAGGGAGATACTTGCGTATTAAAAAATAAATGTGTTTAAAGGCGTCGCTAACGTGAAAAAGTTCCATTGAATTTACAGGCTAATTTGATTGGCTGCAATGCTTGCAATCCGACGATAGGGCAACAAGGAAGAGTGCGTATTATCATGTCTGTTTTATCTGTCAGATATGACAAAGGCTGGATATTTCTGTTAAAGGCTTTTGAGAATCCGATGCGGCTTTAAACGCCACAGAAATGATGCACATGGTTTTTTTTCAAATTCGTGGGTAAATGTCTTTCAGAATCGTTTTTCATCACTGACATCCAAAGATTGGAGCGTAGTCTCTTCTCACTTTTCGCACACACGTGTACCACCAAGGAGACAAGACAATCAGCTCCACGTCCTTAAGCTACAGATAGAGTCGACTTCGCATCAGAGAAAGACTGATATAGGATTCAAATCAGCATAGTCTTTCTCTGATGCGTTGTCGACTCTATTTAAATCCTACATCAGATTCACCGTTGATCGTAGTTAGTTTGGGTAGTGTTCCAGCTTCATATGTTCAGAGTTTCATCTCTCAATGATCATAATATTCAGTGTAAATCTGAGAAAGATTATAACATGTTGTTTGCTTTTGGGTCAGAGGAATCTAGAGAATGTTTGGGGAAGTTTACAACTAAGATAGAAATAATGATGTATTTGTCATCGCTAAGCTCACAGTATTTGAATATCATTGTTCATGATTGGATATGAAACAGCATGATGAGAGATTAGAGCAGGTTTTGACAAGATTCCTTGAACATTAATATCAAACAAGCGTAGGTTTAGGATGCAACAACTGGAATTCATGGGATGCTTGCACAGGCGTAGGAGAACTAGGTCTACTGGATGCTATAGTACACCAGAATGTTACAGAACCTCACGTGTATCAGAGGTACGTCAAGTCTTATTGCACTTGTGAACTGTGATGCTCGATTCATACCAAATTTAGCAACAACTGCAGAACCACTCAGAAAATTAACTAGGACAGGGACTCCATTATTGTGGGGAAAGGAACAAGCCAGAAATTAGAAAAAGACTTATCGGCTGATGCAAACACACCCCTTGTTTTGATAGCGAGCCAACATAAGAGTCATAGCTGATGCGGGTCCTGCTGGATTAGGGGCAGCGTGGTTTCATGATCAAAATGGAGAAGAGCGCATTACCAGTTTTACAAGCAGGAGTCTGACAATGTCGAGGGGCGTCAGTCACAAACAGCACAAGAAGCAGAACATTGGTCTGAGCATGTGGAAGATTACTTGAGTACTTGTACGCAATAGATTTTGAACTTGTAAATGATCATACGTTGGAAGCTATTTACTCGAAATGTTCCAAGTCGTCCGCAAGGATAGAGAGATGGGTGCTCAGGCAACAGCCTTACACTTTCACCGTCAAGTATGCACCAGGATCAGAGTATATGCATTACAGCATGACGTCATGTGATGTGACTAGATGTTAAGATCTGACTAGCCAAAAGCCAGTGACTTTTAAACTGGGCTAGTAACATTTCCGTGAACTTGGGCCGACTGTCTAGGTGAAAATCCAAGTCCATACTTACTTATTACATACTAACGTTTTACTCGTGTTTTCTATGAATCATCTCGTCAGTTAAGTCGTCATTTAATGTCAAAGTCTGCTATCAGTTTGTTTCCATTTCTTAATTTATCGGAAACTGCTTTGGGCTGTATACTGATTATGACTGATATTCATGTACGTGAGTTATTAGTGATGCGTGTGAAAGTCTACGAACCACGACAACCGTATAGCATCAAGCAGCATATCAGCTTAGTCGTTGTTTAGCGAAATAATCCCAAGACTATTTAGTACATATTTCAAATGGCGGCCTCAATAAAGTAGGGCTACTCATATACATTTTGATGAGGGTTTTGTTAACAAGCTCCCCTGGCCAGTGAACTGGGGATACTAATTCCTACACTGGGGAAGATGTGATTGAACTGTTAACTGTATTGACCGGATTATTTCAGCAGGAGTATGCATGGTGATAGGAGTAGTTTCATAAGGTTTTGATATTTGCATCAGTATGCTGATCAGAAGGACATTTTTCAAGCATAATTCAGTTGTATGAACACTGTCAAGATCACAGATAATGTTGTTTATGTTAATTAGATGTCAGTACTTTAGATAGAGGTATTATGGTATGGTAAAATTTGCTTATCATACCTCCATGTCAGAATGAGATCTGATTGGTCTACGTGATCTTGATAAAATACTATGTATTAGGCCTTGGAGGGGAGAGAAAAATCCTTTATACCCCGCTACGAACAAGACAGGTCATAAAATTCTCAGCGGGTAAATAAATCTATTATGCCAGGTCACGAGCACTACAGGCTGCATGTGCATTTCTGAGAGACAGAATAAATCCCTTATACCTGCTTCAAAGCAAAAAGCCGCAAGCTCAATGGAAGTCACGTGACAAGCACAAGTTAACCTGAGCTCAATCGAACAGTTGTTTTCTATTTCCGTTAATTATTTTACAATGTCACATTAAAACATGTCGATAAGATAAATTCGTCGCAGCAGGATCACTCGGGGTACAAGGGGTTTTATGCGTCCCGAGGTTAGGTTTTATACCACGAGCCGCAGGGGAATGATATAAAACCTAAGTAGAAACGCATAAAACCCCATGTCCTAACGAGAAACGCATAGAACCCCATGTCTTAACGAGAAACGCATAAAACCCCATGTCCTAACGAGAAACGCATAGAACCCCATGTCTTAACGAGAAACGCATAAAACCCCATGTCCTAACGAGAAACGCATAGAACCCCATGTCTTAACGAGAAACGCATAAAACCCCATGTCCTAACGAGAAACGCATAGAACCCCATGTCTTAACGAGAAACGCATAAAACCCCATGTCCTAACGAGAAACGCATAGAACCCCATGTCTTAACGAGAAACGCATATAACCCCATGTCCTAACGAGAAACGCATTAAACCCCATGTTCCCTGAGTGCTCCTGCTACAACTCAACACTATTTTGCTTTGGGGGCTTGCTGTTAGATACTGTCAGGTAAAACCATGGGAACAGGTAAGAGCCATGGAAGCGTGACTGGGTATGACTGATAGCTGGGGAATGGCTCTAGGTATGCTGCGCTGACCTGACTCGACAGGTGCTGTGATGAATGGCTCCAGGTATGCTGCGCTGACCTGACCCCACAGGTGCTGTGATGAAAGGCTCTGGGTATGCTGCGGTGACCTGACTCCACAGGTGCTGTGATGAAAGGCTCTAGGTATGCTGCGTTGACCTGACTCCACAGGTGCTGTGAGGAATGGCTCTAGGTATGCTGTAGTGACCTGACCCCACAGGTGCTGTGATGAAAGGCTCTAGGTATGCTGCGTTGACCTGACTCCACAGGTGTTGTGATGAATGGCTCAAGGTATGCTGCGCTGACCTGACCCCACAGGTGCTGTGATGAATGGCTCTAGGTATGCTGTAGTGACCTGACCCCACAGGTACTGTGATGAGAGGCTCTAGGTATGCTGCGTTGACCTGACTCCACAGGTGTTGTGATGAATGGCTCCAGGTATGCTGCGCTGACCTGACCCCACAGGTGCTGTGATGAATGGCTCTAGGTATGCTGTAGTGACCTGACCCCACAGGTGCTGTGATGAAAGGCTCCAGGTATGCTGCGTTGACCTGACTCCACAGGTGCTGTGATGAATGGCTCTAGGTATGCTGTAGTGACCTGACCCCACAGGTGCTGTGATGAAAGGCTCTAGGTATGCTGCGTTGACCTGACTCCACAGGTGCTGTGATGAATGGCTCTAGGTATGCTGTAGTGACCTGACCCCACAGGTGCTGTGATGAAAGGCTCTAGGTATGCTGCGTTGACCTGACTCCACAGGTGCTGTGATGAATGGCTCTAGGTATGCTGTAGTGACCTGACTCCACAGGTGCTGTGATGAATGGCTCTAGGTATGCTGTAGTGACCTGACTCCACAGGTGCTGTGATGAATGACTCCAGGTATGCTGTGATACCGTTGTGCCCTGTGTGCTAGACATAATCAGAAAGTCACAATGTACAGTAGCACGTTTTCCTGTTTAATGTGGTAGACATGTTATAAACTTGACTCCATGACGTGAATAATCAGTACTCAACTCGAGGCACTGTCTAGGTCTGTGACGGTACACGATTAAAGTGTCAGTGCACGCCGAAAGGTGGTAGGATTGTCCAGGACGTGGTTCGTGTACCAAGGAAGGCTAAGATCTGCTGCTGTGTGTGGTTACAGACTAAGTAGTTCTTTTTTGTAAGAACGTGAATTGTGCAACTTTTCAATTTACCAGTTACATGTATTCGTGTATTAAACAGTTGCACAAGTAACCCGCCACATGCCTAAATTCTGGACAGCTGGAATGTGGATTATAATATTATTTAATTTGTACGCGGACCAACATCCATTTAAGGTTTGGCTTAAGACTTTTGTTGAATGAGAGGTCATGGTGTCATTGTGTGTACAGCGTTAGCATCCAAATATAAACCCTGGGGAGTTTACAGACGGCAGTGATAAAGCCATCTTCTAAATGTCCAGGGCTCGTATTTCGGTTAACCTAAACTCACCCCTGGATCTATTCCCGTAGTTCTCGCGATCTCAAATTATCCCCTCTTGATTTTCATTTACATTTCATCGACCAATCAAACGTTGAAATAAGGAAAAAGGAAATGGGTAGGGAAAGACTTGCCACCGCCAGTTTTAGTGGACATGATGACAGCCTTTCCATCAA